AAAAAAAAAAAAAAAAAAAAGATAAAGGAGCGTGCCAGAACTGCTAGGTTTGACTGTGAGCCTTGTTACCACTTTTCCCCTTTGACCACTGGAAAGGTTTTTCTCTTTATGCACCACTCTAACTAAAAAAAAGTCAGGTCCAACTTTCTTGTTTAAACTGTCCTTCATTTTAATCCCTGGCGCCTTTTTTTCTGTGTCTCAGGTACAGGGAAGGGCAACTTAATACATTGTTATTGGTTGCTGTTACATTTTGCCTCTTGTTTAAAATTGTACAAGTTTTTACAAAGAATAGACGTGCACCTAAAGATCACAGAAGGGCTTCAAGCATTGCTGTAAAGTGAAGGCTCTTCCCTGCCACCCCCAGTCCGGCTCCTCGGAGGCAGCCGCCTCTCAAGTCTGCCTTCAGTTTTTCTCGTGCTTTTGGCATTATCACTTTAATTACTTACACTTTAATACGTAATAACTTACACACATAATCTCCACTTCTTAGTTTATTAACTCAAGCATCTATTTGTTGACTCCCTGGTATAAAACGGGGACTTGACCTCAACCGTCTCACCCCCTCCGCCTCCACACTGTCCAGTTGTTGTTGTTGCTTTATGGAGATGGAGCTCACATATGATACTCTTCACCCGCTTGAAGTGTACGATTCAATAGTTTTTAGTGAATTCACAGAGTTGTGCAACCATCACCACAGTCAGTTATAGAGCATTTCCTGACCCTCAAAAGAACCTCGCATCTGTTAACTGTAACTCTGTTTCCCTCAACCCTGGGCAACCACTAATACATTCTGTCTCTGGAGATTTCCCCACTCTGGACTTTCATATGAATGGAGTCACATGATATGTGGTCTTTTGTAATTGGCCTCTTTCACTTAGCATCATGTTTTCAGGGTTCATCCGCATTGTAGCCTGTGTCAGTATTCCATTCCTTTTTATGGGTGAATAATATTCACATTTTATCCATTCGTCAGTTGATGAACATTTGATGGACATTTGATACTATGACTAATGCCATTGTGAGCATTTGTGTAGAAGTCTTTGTGTGGACGAATGTGTTTGTTTCTCTTGAGTATATACCCAGGAGTGGAATTGCTGTGTCATGTGGTAACTCTGTTTCACCTTTTGCAGTATCTCGGTGTTTAACCCTAAACTCTGTATCCCACAGTAGCTGCACCGTTTTCCATTCCCACCAGCAGTGCCTGGGGGCTCCAGTTTCTCCATGTGTCCTCGCCAACGTGCCTTGTTAGTGCCTGTGTTTTCTGTAACAGCCGTCCTAGCAGGTGTGAAGCGGGAGCTCATGGGGGTTTTGATCTGCGTCTCCCTGAGGGCTGATGATGTTGAGCAGGTGCTCATAGACTTAATAAAAAGACAGAAGTCCTGGCCGGAGTTGCCTTTCCTCTGCTCCCCTCTGAGTCCCGTAGTGGATGCACCAGCTCTGCCCTTCTCTTGCTGCCCCGCACCGCCCGCCCACCCTGGAACCCGCCTGCTGTCGAGGCCAGCACTGCTGCCACTCTCTTGCTGGGTATGAGGCGGGAGTCCTTGTCCATCAGAACCTGGTCCCCTGCCTGCCTCGGCAGTCGGCCCCCACCCTGCTCTCCACAAGTGCACCCTGAACGTGAGTGGCCTCTGGATCCTTTCCTCCTTTCTGTGGAGTCAGTTCTTGCCAATCAGTGTCCTGGGTGGGTTCTCCCTGATGCTGTTAGTCTGACGACATCATCTTTCTGTATTCTGGGCATTGCTCAAAATTCCTTGTCCACAGGTGGTCGCCCTTATTGAGAAATATATCCGTTCTCTCGTTTCAGTGGGACCTTGAGGGGAAAGTGGGTGTGTTTGTCTTCACCATTTTGAACCCAAAACCTCGATTTGGTCACCTCTCGTTATTTTCCATCTGCATTAGTAGGCTTCTAGGTGCCTGGAGCAGCGCCTGGCACATGGTAGGTGCTTAACAAAGGCTGGGTCAGTGCCGAGTGAGGGAAGGTTAAGTACTTAGCGCCTCAAGATGCTCCCATGAACTGAGGGTGTCTCAGCTGCTTGCGGGTCCCTTAGAGGCGGAACAGGGTGTCCCCAGACAGCCCCCCAGCTGGAGCTCATTGACGAAGCCTTCAGGCCAGTTGTCTGTGGGCGGGGCGATAAAGGGGCTCATATTCCTTCTTCATAGTTTTCTGAACTTTCATGATAAATTGCTTTTTTCACTGTGTCTAAGTAAACGTTCCAGAAAGGATACTTTGTGGGTTTGACCTCATACTTGTGTCTTACTCCTCAGAGGTCACCTTTGTCCCCGTGTCCAAGGTGAATGGGCAGGTGGAGGCTGAGGACATCCTGGCGGCCGTCCGCCCGGCCACGTGCCTCGTGACCATCATGCTGGCCAACAATGAGACAGGCGTCATCATGGTGGGTCGCTGCCCCTCTTAGGAAGATGGAGCGGGGACCCCGGCTTCCCAGCCCCGCCTCTTCTTTCCCCTGTTCTTCCATCCGGGAACCTTTTGGTGCATCCTCATTAACAACTCCTCATTTCTCTCATTCTGTCTTCATCAAATCAACACACTCAGCCGTGTGTTTCTCCCTCTCCAGCCGGTGCCTGAGATCAGCCGGCAAGTCCGAGCCCTGAACCAGCAGCGGGCGGCGGGCGGGCTGCCGGGGGTGCTCGTGCACACGGACGCCGCCCAGGCCTTGGGGAAGCGGCGTGTGGACGTGCGGGACCTGGGTGTGGACTTCCTGACCGTCGTGGGCCACAAGGTGCGTCCATCCGCCTTACTGCCCTCCTGCTGGGGAGACGCCTCGATGCCCGCGAGGCTCACCTGCAAGCAGAGCCCGCGGCCCCACTCATCCTCCGTCACCGGTGCACCTAGCGCACATGCCCAGTGAGGCCCTGGGTCATGGTGATGGGAAGACCGCGGCCCCACCCTTGGCAGCTCAGAGGAGAGCCCGGCAGAGCTAGGATGCCGGGGGCTGAGCGCCCACCGGGAATGCTGGGCAGCGCAGCCCATAGGGGGCAGGAGGGGAGGCCAGGCAAGGCCGTCGGGGGAGGGGAGTGGGGGAGGGGGCGAGGCGGGGGCGGGGGGAGGGTGGGGGGGGGGGGAGGGCACAGGGAGGTTTAAGAGCTGCTCTGCCCACTCCTGGGACCAGCATTTGCGAGGCGGGGTCGGGGGTAGGATGGGGGGGAGTGGAGGTCACAGGTGGGTTCAGCCTGGGAGTGAGTGAGCTCTGCAGCCCGGAGGGTGCGTGCAGACCCCTCCTCAGCCCACTCAGCCCCACACCCAGAGATGGAAGATGCAGGGTTCAAGAATGATGGCTTCTCTAACTTGGCTTAAACTGTGGCTCTGAGTGTGAGGGTGTGGTTTTCACGGCCCTCATCTCTAGGGCGTGCTGGGGAAATAGTTAGCAGTGAAGACCCTCCTGAAGCTTTTGCTCATCTCTCCAGCAGCTGACTAGAAGCTGGAGTATTTTCAGTAATTTCCCCTCAGCTGGTTCCCAAGGGAGTGGCGTTCTGGCCTGACACGGCGGCGGCCCTTGAGATCTCTAGCTAATGTGGATTTGAGAGCATGGAGTCATCCGCAGGACAGCCCTTGGCCATCTCTCTCTCCAGCCCCTCTCCTTCACAGAGTCTCCCACGCACCGTGCAGGTGCTCTGCTGCCCCCGAGCTGGGGGCCAGAGTCCAGCACCTGCCACCACCCAAAGGCTTCTGTGACCCCCGTGTGTCTGCAGCGGGGTGGGTGGCCACCTGCGGGACCGGAGGAGGTGGGCCCAGACGTCGTAGAGCATCTCTGTGGGCCGCTCAATACATATATTGAGAAGGTCCCCAGAAGGTTCTTGTTGAATAAATGACTGACTTTTCTTTCAGTTCTATGGCCCCAGGATTGGAGCACTTTATGTCCGAGGGCTCGGTGAACTCACCCCTCTGTATCCTATGCTGTTTGGAGGTGGACAAGAATGGAATTTCAGGCCAGGGTAAGGTAGGAGTTTAGCGAGGTGTCTGGCCCGCGGGCTGTGTTGTCTGTACGGAGGGCAGTGGCTCTCCCGTCTCTTGGAAGCACAGTGATAGCACAGCGCTCTTATCTCCACTGAGTCAGACGTGGCTCCACTGGCCGGTTCTACACTTAGGACTCACAGATCTGCAGTCTCGTTGGGGACGATTCAAAGCAGATGAAGGAAGTCTCTCTCAGCTGCTTCAAAGCATCCAGTTCCTTTTGTTATTTTGGCCCAACCCACCAAAGAGGTGCCACCGGAGCCCCCCGGCTGAGATGTGCTGCCCTTCTCTTAACTGTGGGGCCACGTAGAAGCACCTGGTTTCCTCTCTGAAAGCCCCTGTGTCCCCATGACCTGCAGGGGTGTTTTAACCAGGGAATGAGGTGGCACCAGCACCACACGTGTTGTCAGAAACTTGATAACAAGAGGAAGAAACAGACAACATGTGGTGAGTTCCCTAGGGTTTCTCTTGCTTCCTTTATTCCAGAATTAGAGCAGAAGAAGCCAGCAACTCAGAAACACCAATAAGGGCTGATGAAAAATGCCCAAGAAAACCCTCTCTCTCCAGCCACTGGAGCAGGGAAAGGAGAGCCTAACAATACAGAGAACTTTTAGACAATACCTGCTTGTCTCCAGCCAGTCACCATGGTAAACTGCTGCCACCCCGACCTGTGCCACAAAGGAGAGTAGGGAGCCCAGACTTCACCCACACAGGCTGTGACAAGAGCCCCACGCCCCTCCTGTGTCAGACAGGGCCTAGTGAAGAGCCAGGACTTTTGCCTCACCACAGTCATGCACGCCACCAAGGTGTCAGTGGAGACCTCGTGGGCACCCTGAGCTTCCACTCATACCCATCACTAACAAGGTGCGTTCTCCTCTTGGATGTTGACACAGGCCAAGGAGGGAACCTGGACATCTACCCCCGCTTGGCAGCAGTCAGTTGGCACACTCCTCCTGCCAGAGGAAGGTCAAAAAAAGACAGCTAATGTGGAGGGGTTAAGAAACATCCAGACTCATAACGACATAGGGCTTGTCCAGGTTTCAACTGAAAATCGCTCATGATACTGAGAACCAGAAAGATCTTAAATCGAAGAAAAAAGACGTTCAAGAGATGCCAACACTGAGATGACAAAGATGTTAGAATTATCTGATAAGAGATTTTAAGGCAAACACAATAAAAATGCTTTAATGAGCAATTATGAACACCCTCGAAACAGAAGAAATAGAAAGTGTCAGCAAAGAAGAAGAAGATGTAGAGAAGAACTAAACAGAAATTTTAGAACTAAAAACTACAACAGCCAAAGTAAAAAGCTCAGTGGACAGGCTCACCAGCA